ACGATACGGATCGACTGATATGCAACATGACCCTTTCCGGTCAAGTCATGACCTTGACCTGAGGTCAAATTTTCAAGTTGACCTTTCAAGGTCAAGTTATAGTGCATTCGATGCGTCTTGACGAGAGGAACACGATGCCGGTAAAAGTAAGCTCGTACAAGGCTTGGGTCAAAAGTTATTGCAGAAAAACTGTTTCCGAAAAAATCGGCTATTTTTGCAGTTTTTGCCCCCTGCAGGCAAAACCGTTGACGTTAGGTCAAATCTGAGAGAATTACTCAGAAAGGGCGTTAATAGGGCTATCGAAGCGCTTTTCCGCGGCGCTGTAGCTTTATTGGTTCCCGAGTTATGCGTTGGCTTCCTGGAAATTGTCGACATTCGACCTGAAAATCGGCGAAATTTTGCCTTCAATGACCTCTGGTGACCTGACCTTTGACCTGACCAAAAAAGTGACCGAAGTGATTTCGTCATTATTTTTGGCGCTCTTTCGAACGCCGCCTTCCGCGTATCGCTACGTGGCCCAGGAGCCGAGTTAGAAGGGGGGGGGGTGTTCAAACACCCCCCAGCAGGGCGTGGAAATCCAGGACCCCCAGCCGGGCGCAGGTTAAGAAAAGGAGCCGGAGTCGCCCCCTTTTTTGACGGCTCCGGCTCCGGCTCCGGCTCCGGGCTATATTGTTTCACGGCTCCGGCTCCGGCTCCGGCTCCGGGCAAAATATGCCGGCTCCGGCGGCTCCGGCTCCGGCTCCGGCTCCGGCTCCGCATCCCTGGTCGGCAGTGACAGTCCCACCGGTCCCACTCATGGGGTAGGGGCAGTCGGCAGAGACAGTCCCACCGGTCCCACCCATGGGGTAGGGACAGTCGGCAGAGACAGTCCCACCGGTCCCACTCATGAGGTAGGGACAGTCGGCAGAGACCGTCCCACCGGTCCCACTCATGGGGTAGGGACAGTCGGCAGAGACAGGCCCACCGGTCCCACTCATGGGGTGGGGACAGTCGGCAGGGACAGTCCCACCGGTCCCACTCATGGGGTAGGGACAGTCGGCAGAGACAGTCACACCGGTCCCACTCATGGGGTGGGGACAGTCGGCAGAGACAGTCCCACTGGTCCCACTCATGGGGTAGGGACAGTGGCAGAGACAGTCCCACCGGTCCCACTCATGGGGTAGGGACAGTCGGCAGAGACAATCCCACCGGTCCCCCTCATGGGGTAGGGACAGTCGGCAGGGACAGTCCCACCGGTCCCACTCATAGGGTAGGGACAGTCGGCAGAGACAGTCCCACCGGTCCCACTCATGGGGTAGGGACAGTCGGCAGGGACAGTCCCACCGGTCCCACTCCTGGGGTAGGGACAGTCGGCAGAGACAGTCCCACCGGTCCCACTCATGGGGTGGGGACAGTCGGCAGAGACAGTCCCACCGATCCCACTCCTGGCGTAGGGACAGTCGGCAGAGACAGTCCCACCGGTCCCACTCATAGGGTAGGGACAGTGGCAGAGACAGTCCCACCGGTCCCACTCATGGGGTAGGGACAGTCGGCAGGGACAGTCCCACCGGTGCGCGCCGCTCAGTGTCCCTGTGTTAATTTAGCTCAGTGTTAATTTAGGTATTACTTTTTATTTATATTCTCATTGCTGAGGACGCTAAGAAGAATACATAACTAATAAATTGGCGTTCATGAAATGATTCGGCTGTTCAGTATTGACATAGCACCAACAAAAATATATGCATCATCTAGGTGGATAATTGTCATAATACCAGGGGGTGTTTTTCCAGCACCTGGCGAGAAGCAGAGTCAAATTATTGCACAGTTAAGCGAATATAAGCACGCTTTCCAACAACATAAAATCCTCACGACTTACGCAAAGCAGCTTGTGTCTCAGATGAAATGCAAGCAACCATTGGAGCATTATTACGTGGTAACCTTTGAATTTCAGGGGCGTGCTCGAGCACCCCCAAAAACCCCTAATTCTCCACCCCTGATATGCACAGATATGCCATTTATTCATATGACTCTTCTAACCCGCGCGGGGCTGGGGTCTCCAGCCGAACGCGTGGGGCTGGGGGGGGGGGTATATTTTACCCCCCCCCCCCCCTGTTATCTCCCGAACTAATGGTGCGATTTGGAAAATTCAAACGCCAATCGAAAGCTCTCATCACGAACTACTAAAAACATGTACTTAATTTAAAGTTTGAGGTCAAGGTCAAGGTCAGGTCAAGGGTACAAATTGCAAGTTTCTACAGTATCGGCCTTGCACCGTAGTTGCCGAAGAATGGAGTCATGGACTGAGACTGATCGCCCAAAACGTGTTCTTAGGCTACCAAGACAATATTCGTTGCATACAATATCATTCAGAGGTCAAGGTCAAGGTCAGGTCAGGTCAGGTCAGGTCACCAAAAAACAAAATATAGAAAAGGGCATGTGCGACACATGTTTTATGGGTCATTTTACTCATAGAATTCAATAGGCACACTCAATAAGTGATATGGACCACCTCTGGATGAATTTCAGGTCGAGGTCAGGTCAAGGTCAGGTCAAATGAGGTCAAATTTTGAAGTTGGTTGTTAAGGCCTAAAAAGGTGTATATCTGATGCAGTTTTTCACGGCGAATCGAATGGTGCTATTTTTGTTTCCGTACGAGGTCTAGAACTTCCAAAAAAGTCATTTTTCAAAAATTTTGTGTGTCGTGACGTCATAAAATTTTGAATAACTCCCACATTTTTGAACCGATTCTTCTAAAATTTGGTATGTAGGTGCACATAGACCACTTCTCTGACATATATTCCGGTTTTTTCGATAGACTCAAAATTTTTGATTTTATAATGATTTTCCCAAAAAAGTCAGTTTTTTGAGAAAAAAATTTAGGCCAAAATCCAAAATTTTCAAAAACCGAGATGGCCATTTGATAGACAAAGTAAAATTACGTATAACCTTTTTTGTTACGTCTTGATTCCTTTAAAAATGAAGATGTTAGCGGCGTTTGAACTTTTGCCGTTTTTGAGGCGAAAATGGCGAACATGACGTCACTAAAACGTCAATTTCTCAAAAATTTTCCGACGGATTTCGCTCAAATTTTCAGGGAACGTGTCAAATTGATGTAAGAAAAGGTACTGAAAGTTTGGCGGCGCTGCGCGCCGCCGTTTTTGAGATATCGCAAAAATTCGCGAGGGGGGTAAAATTTACCCCCCCAGCCCCGCGCGGGCTAAGGAAAGGCGTATCTTCAGAGGTTGCATTTCATTGTTGTTTCCACAATCGCCCTTCGCCCATATCTTCAGACGCGTCCTGAGTCCCTACTGCCTTGACGTCAAATAAACCAAAATAAAATAAAAAAGGAAAGTCATGAAACAAATGGTATTCAAGGAGCAGCAAGCAGGCAGTGATGTACCAACAGACAGTCGGTCGGAGAGACAAACAGACGGACGGTTTTCTGCAAACAATCACAGATGGGAATTACACTCAGTATGGGCACATCACGTACTGCATCCATAGTTATGTCAAGCATTGCTGTTAACTCCGTATAAACACAGCAATAAACCTTCAATCAACATTAAGTCAAGGTTGACGTCTGACAATCATTACTTTAACAGTTCAAGTTCATTGATGTTAGCACGCAATCAACAGTTTGCTAATTTGCATCTTTAAATTAACAGTTGTACTGACCAGATATGTTTGGGCACGACGGTGGAACAAAAACAGTGGCAGCGGCTGGCTCAATCTCAGTCCGCACTCGTAGGTCCGCGGCTCAGCTGGCTCACACTCAGCTGGACGGCCCTAGAACCACCCCAAACATATGTATAAACGTTGTCTACTTTGACAATGATAAACTAATGACGGTAAACAGCAAAACTAAAGAACCTGCACCCAGTAGTACAGTAAATCAAAGTACAAAAATGAAAGCGCGACGAAAGTGGCGCTACGTTGGTTTGTTGCCATTTCCGCTGAATTCAACATCGCTCACAGCTAACAGAAAATATATCAGACAATACTAATTGTGCTAGCTATCACTTGGATGCATTCATTAAACATTTCAGACAATCATCAATAAGAAAATGAAAGCATACGTACGACGGCCCTCGACACCAGTGGTTCATTCAAGAATGAGCCTGCGTGGTCGACAATTTGGATGCGTCTCGTGCGCCAAACTCGTCAAAGACACGCGAGCAAACGCGGCCACTAAATGACGGGCCGGCTCCCGAACGTAAAGAGCCGCCAGATTTCTCACAAACGGCGACCGGTCGCAACATCCTCCCCCCTAGTTTTCGGACGAACCGAAAACTCACACATTGAGCGACCGAATATGCAGTACCAAATGCTCTCACAGCAAGGTAACGAAAGACAAATTCTTCTCACAGCACTGCAAACAGCAATTGTCCGCTCTTGCACACGCGACTGCATGGCCGCCAGGTAAGCACAAAACGCACTGTGCGCGCAGTCCGAAGTCACGCACTAACGCCGTTCACCGATGCCGGTCACGGTAACGCATCACCACCGCACGAGGCAGTCTGAGGCCGAACTCGAAGGCGCCGCCCCCGGGCGGCATGGTCATTTCTCCGCGCACCACGCACAGTCACATCGCACGGTAGTAGCCGAGCCGAAGATGCTGCGCGCCGCCAGCCGACACGACCGCTCGGGCAGCAGCGCGCACGAAGTACACCATCCTCGTAGGTCCGTGTGTGCCGTCGTGCACACCAGGACGGCACGCTTTAGTCCAGCGATGAGTCGCCGGCTCCAGCTCGGCGAAGAAGACGATCCATGTCCAAGACGCCGCCTCGCCAGTCGGAGACAGCAGCCCAGTAGTCCGACGTCCAGTCCAGGCCCGCGATCACTGCTGCTTTCCAGGATCACAGGCACGAGGAGGGTCGGAAATGGTTATAAATACGGCTACGGATTCAATGACAATTGGAAGGGGTAACAAAACAAAACAAAACAAATAAAATAAATACGTGTGGGTATCATGACACAAAATGCAGTGCTCATCAGTGCAAAACGATGACTCATCGGCAGCTTTACTGGGAACTAGACCTCTCTAGCACACAAAGCTTGAGGCTGGGTCTCTTGTACACCCCAGTCGGTGTACGGACGAGGACCGAACGCACGGTCCCATCAGCGCTTGGGTAGGTCTCCTGTACCACACCAAGAGGCCAGAAGCCTCTAGGCGTGTCCTCCGTCATCACCAGGACGACATCATCCACGGCGAGATTTGGTCTCTCCTTGTTCCATTTCTTGCGCGAGATGAGAGTCGGCAGATACTCCCGCAACCACCTTCTCCACACTTGATTCGTGAGCATCTGCACATGCCGCCAACGTTTGCGGGTCGTGTCGCCGTCCTCGAAGACGCCCGGAGGAAGTCCTGACGCGCTCGCCGTCTCTCCAGCAAGAAGGAAGTGGTTTGGAGTGATCGACTCCGGATCGCTGTTGGCTCCTGAGACGTAGGTGAGCGGGCGTGAATTTATGACATACTCCACCTCGACGACAGTCGTGTGCAGGACATCGTCGGACACCGTCTGATTTCCCAACACGGCACGGAGGGCCCTCTTCACCGAGGCGACGAGCCTTTCCCAGGCACCACCCATATGACTCGCCGTCGGTGGATTAAACTTCCACACGATGTCCATCTGGCTGAGAGACTCGTCGATCTTCCGCTGATTCCATTCAGCCAACGCCTCTCGCAGCTCTCGCTCTCCGCCCACCAGGTTGGTGCCATTGTCAGAGCAGATACACCTCGGCCTCCCTCGCCGTCCGATGAACCTGCGCAGAGCAAGTAGAAAGGAATCGGTGTCCAATCCATGGGCGACTTCAAGATGTATCGCCCGCGTAGCGAGGCATGTGACGAGCAGGACATACCGTTTTTCCGTTTTCCGGAACTTTCGGACTGTCAAAGGTCCAAGGAAGTCCAGACCGCAGTTTGCGAAGGGTCTATCCATTTCAACTCTGACCCTTGGGAGAGCCGCCATCTCAGGACACACTGGCTGAGCTCGCCTGTTGCGGCACACAGCACAGCTCCGTAGAATCCTCTTCACTGTTGATCTCGCCTTCGGAGTCCAGAACCTGTACCGAAACTGGTTCAGAGTGTGGCTCATTCCCGCGTGCATGGATCTCACGTGAAGATCTGAGACGATCAGTCGCGTAACATCACTGGAGGGATGCAACACGATCGGCTCTCGGGAGATCTCAGCCAGTGGTGCACTACCAAGGCGACCCTTCGCCCTGATGAGGCCCTGGTCGTCACGAAAGAGAGACAGGTCAGTTGGCGAGTCGAGCGCCATCTTTGCCTGGTCTTCCCGAAAGATCAGGAGTTCTGCTCTCTTCAGCTCGTCGACGTTCAGCACTCCGCTCTGCTTGGGCTTCTTTGTTATCGCTGATCTGAGATTGCTGACGAACCGCAGAGACAAGGCCACTACTCGCCGGTACTTGCTCCACGACGAGTAGGCCGAAGGATCCACGAGCCTGGACTGCGAATCACCGACGAAGGCGACTATCGTCTTCACAGAGGTCCTCCTGAGTTCAGGTTGCTCTGGATGGAGACCCGGGATCCGCGTCTTCGGCCACTCTTGTTCGTCTTGGGTCAGGAATTCGGGTCCCGACCACCAGAGGTCACACTCCTTCAGCATCGAGGCTGACATCCCTCGAGAGGCTATGTCCGCTGGGTTCTGCTTTCCTGGTACATGTTTCCAATCAGATGGTTCACACGATTCTCTAATCTCCGCTACCCTGTTGGCGACAAAGGTACGGAACGTGCGACTTTCGTTAGAGATGAACTGGAGCACCACCTGACTGTCCGTCCAGAACACAGTTCGGCTGAAGGCATACGACATCTCCTTCCTGATGATGCCCGCCAAACGCACCGCCAAGACCGCCGCCTGCAGCTCAAGACGCACAATGGACAACTGCTTGAGCGGAGCCAATCGCGAGCGCGACATGATGAGGGCACTGTGGTGGTGACCCGCGGCGTCTGTGAACCTAACGTACCCTGCGGCGGCAAAGGCACGCTCTGAAGCGTCAGCGAACAGATGTAGTTCGACCGTGTGAACCTCTTCAGTGACAGCAGACTTCAAGCATCGAGGTACAGCCAGATCTTCCAGATAGGACAGTTCTCCCAGCCAGTTCTTCCATATCACCAGCTCTTCTTCGGGCATGTCTTCGTCCCATGCCAGCTTCTTCTGCCACAGCGTCTGTATGAGGCACTTGGCGATCAGCACAAACGGAGTGATGATCCCAAGCGGATCAAAGAGCATGGCTGTTCTCTGCAACACCCCTCGCTTCGTAGAGGCCACATCAACCTCTTTCACACGGACACTGAGAGTGTCCGCGCTGGGGGACCACACACAACCCAGCGCCTTTTGCGGTGTACCTTTTACCAACGTGAGAGTCTTCTGACTGACGTCACGGTCGTCTTCTTCAATGTCTTCCAGCAGCCCTGGCAGATTGCTGCGCCACTTGGTTAGGCGGAACCCTCCTTGGCGCAAGAGGGTCGTGACTTCCCGGCGCGCAGCCCTTGCTGCTTCCACACTTGGTTCCGACCGAAGGTAGTCATCCATGTAGAAGCTTGCTACCAGTGACTCACGATCAACTTCGGTCCCCCCGGTCCCAGGGTTCTCCGTCAGAGCGCGGCGCAGGATGTGATTGGCCACGGTAGGGCTACACTTGGCCCCGAATATCACAACACACATTTGGTACATGTCGGGAGGTTTCTTGAGGTCGATACTCCTCCACAGAAAGGAGAGTGCTGGCTGGTCCTGTGGACGCACTCTAATCTGGTGAAACATCTGATAGATGTCAGCGACAAGGGCGCACTGCTCCTCCCTGAAACGTAGCAGAACTGCACACAGGTTCTGGAGCAAGTCAGGTCCTTTGAGGAGTTCCGTGTTGAGAGAAATCCCGTCCTGTTCGGCAGCCGCATCAAACACCACACGAGGCTTCGGCTTGTCCGGCCGTGTGACGGCGTGATGAGGAAGCAGCCATCTTTTCTTCTCCTTGAGCTGCTTCTCTTCTGAGGAGACCTTTCGGGCGTATCCCTGATCCACGTATCCTTCAATGACCTCAGAATACAGCTTGGCTTTCTCTGACTTCCGCATCAGGCTGTGTTCCAACGACGTGAGACGTTTTAGAGCCATCTTGTGGTTGTCTGGCATCTCCGCTTGCTCGTCACGCCAGGGCAGACCGACTTCGTAGCTGTCACCCACTCGCCTTGTCGTTTCCTCCAGGATCTTCATTGTCTTCACATTTTCTGGGGAGAGCCCATCTCCGGCGAGCTTGGTCCCGAAGGCCTCTGTACTCCACCAGTCCTGGAGAGTGTCGGTGAGTTCTTGGTCTGCTTTCTGGAGAAACATCACTTCTTTGGGTCCGTCTGGCTTACAACCGAAGACACTCCCGGTCAGCGACCATCCGAAGGCGGTCCTGATGGCTGTTGGCTGCCCACGTTGACCTACCCTGGCCTCCGTCTGAAGTACTGCTTCCAAGCAGTTGGCGCCCAACAGGAGCTCCACTTCTCCAGCTGTGCATTCTGGAATGCTGAGATCCTGCAGGTGCTTCCACTCGTGTCTGTTCCTGGCGCTGACTGTAGGCGTCCTCACATTAACTCTCGTAACAGAGTAGGCTTCTGGGACGCAGATCATCCGGGAGCGGTTCCGTCTCTGCCAGGGGACTCACTGTCAGCTGGACACGTTGTGACGCTTTCTCTTCGCCATCAGACTCCACGTTGCGCAGACGGAGTGACTGCGGTTGCACTTGGACTAGGCCGTTTGCGAATAGACTAGTCCATGTGCGTTATTGCAGTTGGACTAGGCCGTTTGCGAATGGACGGGCGTTTATGCTCCCAGTCCAAGTGCGAAGTCAGGCCAAGTGCGAAATATCCAGCAAAGTGATGTCAACTTGGCAAGTCAACTTGGCATGTGCAAAGTCCCGTGTGAAATGATGCGTGCAAACTGCAGGGCTGCGGAGTCGATGGATTTTCGCGCGACTCCGACTCCGACTCGACTCCGGCTTTCAAAAACCAGCTCCAACTCGACTCCG